CTAAATAAATATATTCCAATGTATTAATGCATTAATATATAATATGTTGGTAGGCAAAAATTATTAATTGAACATATTACAGTTTCCAACCGAAACTTTGCTGAAGTTATAAACGGCTGAGAGATTTTTTATATTGCAAAGAAAATTAAACTTTATATCACTTAATGTAAGTTAAATTTTCTTCATGCATTTCATACGTTTAATATAAATGAATCGTTAGATCATAGCGATTTTTAATTATATTTTTTAATTTCCACACACTCCCTTCGAGCTTCAGCGCAATTGTTTTTACAAAAGACCTTTAAGCCATTTCTAGTAATAATATTTGTTAACGTAATACTATTGATGTATATAATGTTTAATAATCATTTTAATAATAATAATCATTTTAATAATTTACTTAAACTAGTTCTTTTCTTCCAATTACCTACTGTTACTTATTAGTTAATTCTAATTTTATAAGATCTAAATGAATCTCTAATAACTACACAGAATCTTTAAGAACTACTTCTACATATAATACATGAAGTTGTCACTACAAAATTAAATAAATAATAGCAACATAACCGTTGAAACGGTTGATTTTGCAGTTCTTTAACGTTAATAATAATAATAATAATAATAAGATTTATTTCAGACAAGTCCATATCGAAATTACATACATAAATTGAAAATTTTAATAAAGGCATGAAATAAATTAAAAACAAACGCTATTTAGCTTAAGTATTGATAAAACCTTTAACGAACTGTTACAAAAAACATAGGTTACTTAAAAAGACAGCTTGTAGGTATTCGAAGTACTTAGATTAAACTATAAAACGTCTTCTTCCTTAATATGTATTATCATAATACACTATTATTACGCACTTATCTTCACATTTCGGGACATAAAAAACAAGTTTCCCTATTTATTATTTCCTAATTCTACCTAATTAGGGGAGGTGTGAATATTTTGGAAGTGTACTTGGGGTGGCCCACCGTTATCTTAAGGTCGAAATAGTCCTCAAAACTCGTGATAGGATGTAATTGTCCAATTATAAAGATATTTTATGTAAATATCAAAATGATAGGAGTTAAAGGAAAGGTGTTCGCAACGGCGATTGACTTCTTGAAAGGATAATTATTGTGGAATTATGACTTTATTTATTGGCTGTTATTTAACAAAATGCTTTCGGATGTGGAGTGTAGAGATAGAAGATAAAGATTTTCTTCGTTAAATTTTGCATACATATTTTATTTAACGAAAACTAAAATTTTCACTTATTAGAATTTTGCTATATTTGCGAGAAACTGAGACTTCTATTGATAAGTACATATATTACTAACCTCTAATCATATTTAAAAGAATACTAATGTATACTAATGTAACATTTGCATTTGAACATAAATTCACATCATGTTTGTTCTAGTCGATATTGGTAGGCGTACGATACACGCCCACAACGACAACAGATTTATGATTCCATCAATAAAATAGATCTCATTTTTAATGTAATGATACATTTAACAATAACATTTTCATCATAAAGATTACAAAACATATCTATTATTTCCGTATAATGTTTGTTATCTAAACTAATTTAATTAAACACAAAAACTCTATCAACACAATATAATCAATGGCCTCTCTTTTTAGACTGCCTAAAAGGCTTTAAATTATGAGTCATTTTGTTTTGCATGTTTGTCTCTGTTGTTATTTGACGTAATAAAAATCAAGGTTAAGATGTCAGGGCGATTTAAAACACTGTATAATTTATGGAATACTTAATTAATTTAATTGATAACTATTTCAATTTCAGAGAAAGGCTCTTACAGATATTCATATTTGACAGTCCACTCCGACCCTATCTATTTGCATATATTCCAATATCTTTGATAGTGTATAAATACTTAGAATGATATTGAGTAGAACTGAGTGCTTGCTACTGTCAAAGTTTACCTACACTGGGGGGTTTTGATTGATCTATAACAGTATTATATTATCACGTGTGCATATCGATATATTATATTATTAAACTCTGTGGCAAGTTGCTGTTAATTTATGTGTTGATGATTCTAACGATATGATGTATGGAACACAGGCCGAGTCAACTTGAGCATTTTGAGTGAAGTTCAAAAAGGTTTTAATAAAGATAATGCAATCCTTTCGATTAAAAAAAGTCGATGCGACATCGACATTAGCAGAGCGTTGAGTTATTTCTTTGTGATGTTGAGCTTATCGTAAATTTAATACTTTAATGATGGCATAGCCGGCTTTTGATAAAAAACGTATATACCTGCCGGCTACCCGGTACGTCAGCGATTTTTTGCCCACCTGACGTCTTTAACAAAATTCGTGTCACCGGTACCGATTTCTCTAAGATTAAGAATATATATTTTTTTTACATTATCCAACAAATAGATCGACCCTTGACGTTCGAATATTCTGTTACACGGTTTAACACTTAAAAGGGCTTAACGACCTAACACATCCTGCGGGGTATAAAAAAAAGAAACGAAAACCATCGCGTTTGTTTTTTAAGATGTCTGCATAAGATAAGGCGGTTCTTTAATCCATACCGACCGATATTTTTAAGATGACTTTTTTTTTGTTCAGTTATCTAATAACAAGTATGCTGTGCTTAAACAATTACCCCGATAACAACGTTTCTAATGTGTTCGCGGTATTTGATAAAAATCTTGCCAGAATGACCTTCCCAATACGAATATTAATTAGTTCCATGCTTTACCTTAGTCGGAAACAGGTATATTTATCGCGAATTTTAACTTTAATTGAAATGTATTTATAAAATAATATTATTTTATTTTAATGTAAACAAATGTACTCATGATATAATTCTAAAACGCTTCCGGTTACATTCAATTTGGAATTCTTATTTCTTGGCTCACTTTAGATTGCTTTTTATGCCTTCGACGTGTCTCTTTAAAGATCATGTTTCTTAAGTGGAAAGCTGGTGATCATCTCTTTAAATGTTCAGATTATCGTCACTGAGTATTTACCACCGTTTAAAAAGCACTGTAAACAAGTAACAACGTACGTTTTTTATTCTATAAAAATATCGATAAAACTGTGGCGATAAGCTTATAAACCAAATAAATAAATCCTTTAACTTCTGAGCAAAAATTAAACGTTGCCTCCCTAACATTGAATGTATGTATTTTAATTGAAAACCACGTATTTTTAAATAGGAATTATCATATTTAAAGTTTTTTTTTAAAATGTTGTTTTATTTTAATAATTAAATGAGTTTTTCTTAATTAGAAAGCGTAACAATTATTACTAGAAAGTTGTAGATTACTGACTTTTTGCTTTATAATAATATGTTTATAACAATAAACTGATGCCATATAAAACAAATGTGTTGTATAATAATTGTGAATGAGGGCAACAGTTAGTAAAAAACAAAAATACTATGTAATCTTAACATTTATAACATAACTTCACAATTTTATATATATATATAGTGTAATTCTTAGTATCTACAATAGCACACTGGTATAATAAAGTTTAACTTATACTTTACGGTTCATTCGTCTTACCTAGTACACGCAAAATTGAATCTAATCAGCTGAATTTTAAGACAGAAATTCTGTTGTCAACATAACGGAAGCCTATGAAAACTTAATACGTTTTACATACGTTGAAGATGTCATGAGTTAGAGTCTACACATAAATATGTACATAGTTACAAAATATATAATAACCACAATCTATAGTTATAATAAATTATTGAGTATATCAAACATATCTAGGAAACTCGATTAGTGGTACTCGATTTGATTGAATCTCCTATAAGCACCGGTTACGATTTCATGCAAAACGCCATGCCAATATAGTCTCTATTCACATTTTTGTTAGGTCCATAAAGCGGCACGCAAAATAAGCTACAGCCATGAATTCGCGGTATACCAATATACGTAGTTGCGAGTAAGGATTAAATAACTATATAGGGTATGTAATGTAAGTAATGCAGGATTCGACGTTTAACGGCTTCGGGATTACCTCAATAATACCCTCAGCACAATAAATGTTTTAACCGGGTGACGGTGCCATAGTATGGATGAACAAAAAATGCCTGGATATAAAATGGCGTTCAAAATACTTGTTTAGGGTGGCTGAAGCCATAGAGCTGGGGGGTCAGGCTTCCATGCGTTGCGCGACACCTACATCGTTAGGTAGTACATAATCACAGGTTAAAACACCCAAAGGTCTTCCGAGTAAGGCTACATACATCTCACTTGTAAATTATTACCACCTATTCACAAAACGACCAAACGTAAAATGTTACATTGATATCACAACACATTGTTACATTGTCAAAAATAATTTATAGTAACCGGAAACAACCTATAATAACATCAATTTCACAAAAGAAATTTAATTCTTATGTTCTTACTGTCAAGATATCAAAAGGTTGGGTAGATTTCTCGGTTTTTAATCCAATTGAAAACATCTTTGTCGGCCGTAGACCATTTTTCATTCGAATGACAAATATTTAGAAAGCTATTTGTCCACGTATAAATTTGCAGTCCTCAATTAAATATATCCGTAAAAGTTCGGGTGGCTTCTCATTCTTTGTTCGCGAACGACGGATGTTTATTTTGTGACCGCGTTATTGATTCAGGTAGTCTGCAGAATAAATCTATTATGACAATAATACATCTCTTCCGTTCATATTGTCATATTCAAAATTCTTGAATCGTATGGTATTAGTGCCACGGGTAATCTAATTACCTCGCACAATGCATCAAAAGGGTTTCACTGGCGTGTCCGATTTGCCTACGAGTTGACGAGCTGAGTAACGCCCATTCGCCCCTTGCAATCGTTAGAACCTCATTTATTACGCATTGAAATTTAACTCGCATTTTAATATGTCAAACTGATGGATAACCATGCATACATTAGCCCTGCGACTTGCTTTGCGAGGAGGCCTCCACTATAATATTGTTTTTTATTGTTATGTCATCAGCAATGGCGAATGTAAAAACGCGCTATAAAGGCATTTCAAAATTTGCAACTTACAGAGCACCATATCGACAGCCTCTAACAGTCCACCGCCGGCGCAGGCGGGAATGAGCGGAGGCTCAGGTGCTAGCGGGGCTGCACGCTCAGGGTCTCCCGCAGCCACGCGATGCTGCGACACCGGCCGTCCCATATTCCAGGACCCAATCACAGGACAAACTGTTTGCTCCTGTCAATACGAGTTTCTAAACTACCAGAGGCTAGCATCGGGAGTACCCCTGTCAATGTACAGCGCTCCGTACCCCGACGCAGCCGCAGCAGCCGGCATGGCGGCTTACTTCCCCGCGCTCGCAGCCGACCAGCCGCCGTTCTATACAAATACGGTAAGTTTTAAGTACGCATAACAAAACCTTAAACAAAGTTATTATCCTTAGGACAAAATATGCTTAAAATTTTCCTCAGTTTTCTAAAACAGGAATTTAAAAATAACTCCACTTTAAAAACATGTATCGTTACTATAAAATTATGTATATAACACAATACACAAAGGTAAATAAACCCGGTATTTTCTGTTCAAGTTCGAACATTCATACAAAATAAAGATAAAATATTCGTTTTGATATGTTAAATAAAGTTAACAACGAAAGAGAACACGAAACGTTCACAAACTCGTGCTAGTTTGACCTACATTTTGAATTATTAATCGTTGCATCTGTCAATCAACGCCTGTTTCTAAAGCATATCCGCGAAAGTAAATGTTGTGCTGACAGCTAAGTGAGACTTAAATACTAAATACTATGTTATATACGAGCATATTAAAATATCTAAATATAAAATACTTGATAAATTATGTAAATTACAAATTAATCACTTCAAAAGAAACTTACACAATATCGTTTGTTTTATTCGCTTTTATTATTAATACCATGTAACAATTGCTAAACGTAGTATACAATTGGAATTTATATACTCTTAATAATTTATACTTCATACTTACAAAATAGATTTATACAAAAAAAACATTCATCAGATGTTTTATACTGAACAGAACCTAATAAATTCCCAATAAAAACACTTTTTATATTATTGCAATTAGAACATCATATTATAAATAATTTACAATCTTACACGTTTCCTTATCCGCGGCTGCAAAGTTAGAACTCTTGGACCAAATGCCATTAAAAATTCCTCTCCCTTATTAGCGACAGTTAAATAAAATGATGTACTTGAATTAATTTTTTTTGAAGTTGAGATGTCGATAGAGTAGTTGTTTATTGAAGTTGTTCTCTGAAACTACATATTTACACATTTTAAACAAGTCTTTAACATGTTTCTGCACTATCTAGTGGATATCAGACGATCTGTGATTATATATTTATTTTATATACCAGTAAAACTAGAGATCGCTATCATTGAAAGTTTTATTTGAGTTGAGACTTATCAATAAATAAAGGTATTTGGCTCAGTTTTAAGAAAGAGAAGAATATTTACAAAAATATTAACACGAAATCCTATTTCCAAGATTGGATGCAAATATAAAAGTTATAATATTTTAGCATAGTAGTTGACATATTTATAAATTATGTAATGATATAATATTTAAATTGGTTGAGTAACATTCCACTTAATGCCTAATTTATAACACTTATAACAACCTCGTCATAAAAATCAAATTTATTATGTTATTTAGACAGCAATTCTGTACATAGACTATGTATATTCACAGACATATTTCTTTAAGTAGCCACAATAATTAATTGGGTACAGGTAATTTTTTGATTTAAGGTTGATAATCTATTTGAAACGGATTATCGTCTCCACCGACAGCTATTTTATTATAACGTTTCTTTCATTCACTCTTTCTCAAAGGCATTACCTTGAAATAATTAGGATCCGGTGTCACAACAGTCGTAGAACGCATACGAATACTTCACAGTGTTAAGCAGATGGAGTTAGCCCGATATAAGGAATACGAATAAATTAAAATCGTAATCCTATGATGTATGTTCTTTTGTGCTTTAACAAAAAAGTTGTTTTCTACCTCGCTCGGGTTAATATTTTAATACCTTTAACAGGTCCATTCTCAGATTATTCCTCATACGATAGTGCCGTTTTTGTTGATTGAAAGCAGCTAATCGATTCTTGTTCAAAATTAAACATTGTGAATTGAGTAGATTGGTTGATTTGCATGTTTTTTCTTTCGGTACGGTTCGTATGACGATGAATATTGTTCATATCAGCTACACGCGTGGGTGACTGTGAGTGATAATAGCCATAATAACATAAAAGTAGCCACGGCGTAATATATGACGTGTAGTAAAAGTTTTGGATGAAGGTGTTAAAAGGTGGGGCCGAGAACGCGTCTCAGGAGATGATTCAATCATTCATGGTGATATCAACATTTATCATCGCAGGCGAAAGTGTTAACTCTAACCTAACTCGCCTTCAATGGCTTTCCGTTTTTTTCGTCCTTTTATTATGTCTACGATTTATTATGTTTTGACTCTTCATACCACATTCATAAGTCTTAAGTTTATAAGAGGGTTCGTGATGATTTTTTATTCATATATAGGTATTTGTAAACTCAAATATAAATGCTACCGTTTACGTTTTCTTTGATGATGCGTATTTGGGACGGTAAACATATGTATTATTTTACCTTCGCATATATCATAACGGTAAATAATCATAGTTTAAAAAAATTAGATATTAGAGTCGTAAATATACGCCATTTTATAAAAAAATATATGATAAAATTTCTTTAGCAATAATATTTAACTGACCTAAGTTTCACACGGGCAACACAAACCGTGAGTAATTTGCTTTCTTTTATCTTCATGAATAATATTATGCTGTCGTAATCAAACAGCTAACATGCGATTGCTAGTTATTAAAAATGTTATTAAGTACACGAAGTTTCAATATATTGTAAAAAATTGAATGCCGGTATGAGCAATTAAGATTATAGTTTACATTATATTTTTATTTTAATGTAAATAGCGATAATTAAAAAGAAAACTATATTGTTTCATTATATTATTGTTTAAATAATAAATGAAAGTGTCATAAGACTTTCTATCGAATAATTGTACTTATTACTATCTATGCCATGTTGTTTTCAAGTTAAAATATAAATGTCAAGCCAGTAAATCGTTAAATGATAACTTAGCGGTGTCAACGTCTACTTGCACCTTTAACATTTAATTAGTTTTATAAAGTTATGAGACCTATCAAGGTGCAATCTGAAGTTGCAGGTATGACGTCAAGTTCTTTTAAAGTTGAATTATTTCAGAAAAGAATTTAATATTTCGTTTCTTTTCACGTAAATTTCTTTCATAGTATTGAAATTTTAATACTCCTATTCTAGTTTGGTTTCTATAGAAGAATGATATTAAAAATGGACAAATAAATTCGAAAATATTCAGTGTTAAAAAACGTTGTCTACTCTATTGCCCCTATCAGGCTCACGTTGCGTGTCAGCAGAATCATTCACCGGATTATAAAACTATTCTTCCCATAAAAATATTCCTTTTTGGACATATTATTAACGTTAATGGGATTATAGACGAGATGCATTAAACCGTGTTGATACCAATAAATATTATGAACGTATTTTTTTAGAACTTCCTACACGAATTTTTTTATATGACTACATTATTGTGAGTTATTTAATTTACAATTGATTTGAATTCAACTTACTAGTCAACGATGTTTCATTATTTTGACGACGGGACGACCGCGACGGAAGAACAATTTGTACATACATAATATGTATGTACCGTCGTGAAACAGCCGCTGGCCACAAACATCAATAAATCGAAACTCGCGTCCTTAAGCCTGATTATTATTTGAAGTAACAGAAAAGTAGAATTATACGAGTGAGGTCTAACCAACAAAGAGCGAGAGCGCGACTGGATTACGCCGTCGTACTTGAGTAAAATTTATTATCGGATTTTCGATTCGGCCACCAATGAAGTTGTTGGACAACAAAATCTTTTGATAGATTTATCCTGACTGACCGCATTAAGAAGAACTCCCGAGTTATATTTAATGTGATGCTATAAATTTTTTTGACCCATGATCTCGCGGTCCGAATTGATACTTTTTACGCGATTCTTAAGCGCAGATCCGCTATTAATAAATCGAAAACATACATGAAATTCATCATTATTAATGTCTGCATTTAAAACATTTTATAATATCTTTTTAAAAATTATTCAGCTTTTCGATATTCGTTGAATAATGTTATGTTTGTAGTCGGCATAAATACATATATTCGGTAAGTTGATTTAGACTACAAGATTATTTCAAGACAGAAATCGAGTTTTAAAATCCCTTTAAGAATCTCTATTAAAATATTTGTCCACTTTGGAATGATTGATGAAGTCTTCTATCTGCACCCATTAAATAATAATAGGTAAGACGAAACACTTAAGTGATCGATCAAGAAATCAATCAGAATTTCAATAAAAGATTAAGTTAAAGCTATCGTGAAAGATACAACATTTTTTTTTATAAGTTTTATAGCACACTAAAAAAACGAACAACGTTAATTTGTTTTCTTAACCGGGATCCGTTTTACAAGACTGAACTCAGGAAAATTACCTAACATTGACTTTCCTTTGATATTATAATAAAACTAATTGTATACATATTAAACTAATAATACCCTGTTATCCAAATAAGGGCCTTGAACATCAACAGAGTGTAGTCCACGCTTTTATTTTTTGTTTTACCACTTAATAATATTGTTAAGCTTACACAATTATTTATCTACATAATTTCTATTTAAGAGCAAAATAATTTTGTTCCTAATATATGTACAGGCTGCTGGCATCGAGTTAAAGGAGAATTTGGCCGCCAGCGCTGCCACCTGGCCTTACCCTACCGTCTACCACCCCTATGACGCTGCTTTTGCCGGTTATCCTTTCAATGGGTGAGTTGTATAAAATTAAAGTGATTTAAAATATGTGTTAAGACTATTAATAGAGAATATATACTGTTAAAATCTAAAAAGAAAACGAGTACAGTTGGGGCACATCTTTATAATCATGGTATCGGATTTGGGGATAAGTGTTTTACTTAGAGCTTTTCTATCCGGAGGACGGATTTCAAGCTGCAGAGAGAGTGACATTTAATCCATGGGGTTCGTTCTGCATCGTCACTTTGTTTTTTGTGTTCCCATAGCTAATCTACGAGGGTAATTATACTCAATACGGCGCAAAACTTAATCTCAAATTGACCGTTTCAGTCACATAAATACTCACTAGTCGTTTTATTTCAAAAACTTGCATTTAAATAGTGTCAGCTAAAAATAGATTACATCAAGCTGTTCGTGTAAAAGCGAGCTCAGTGGTAACTAGTTATGTACGTCCTTGAAGTATGCACTTCTGTTTGATAGTGTTTGGATTTCGCAAAAACTTGGCAACAAATTGGATTCAAAACAGAACTTAATCAGAATACGCTGTAGGTAGATTTGATCTACTCGGCCCTTGTAAGTTGATAGCGGTATATATAAAAGATTACTAAAACATGCGTTTATTAGATATGAATGTTGTATCAGATTATCGAACAGAGTATCGCCGTTTGTCGGTATAAGAGTGTTGATACAAGGGTGTGTTAAGGAAGTTGCATTTGTTTACTAAATAAACCATGTACAAAAAGGTTTATTTTGTACAACTTTTTTTATAAAAATGTAGTTGAAAAATCAAAACTTTTAACAATATGCGCGGCTATGTCACCTAACAAAAATGTATGAATATTTGACATTTCTATCACTGAAATTCCCACGTTCATAATCCATCCCATAAAAGCGAGCGAGAATAAAAAAATAAAAATAGAAATATAAAATGCCTCACAGGACAATACGGCGTTAGTTGCGAACTTCACGATTGGAATTTTTAATAGCAAATTGTCAGTTCTCAACTACTTTGTTCTGTATTGAACTCGTACGGAATTTAATGTTTTTGTGTTAGACGAAATTATATCCACCCAGAATATGTGTTTGGTTTATTAAAACGGAACAACTATCGTTTTATAATAAGTGGATTGTTATTAAATGTATTTATAGTTTTGATATGATTAGAACGCGTGATTTGGTAGAAGTTTCATACGTAATCATGATCGATTGACAACATAAAACACAATTTATTGTAACGCCGGGTTTATTTCCCAAAGTAAACAAAAAAGATAGGAACCGGATATATTTTAAAGATTAAAAAAAATGCTTCAAATTGCTAAAACTCCAGCAAAACCGAACCGAGATAATTTATTTGCTTATAACAAATCAATATAATATTTGAAATATTTTGCAAAACTTAAAGTTCAAAAAAATATATTGATTATAATTCGAATAAGGACATATTTACTGTTAATAAAAACAGGCTTGGGTGCGACATATTTCAACAAAAGGTGGTAGAGTTTTAAAGTGCCTAAGTACATATTACAGATGGAAATACATATTACCGTAAAAGAACTGGCTAAACATTAATGACAGACACATTCAATACAAATTTTAAGCATGTAGCCAATGACTAAAAAAATAACAGGTTTTCTTCCAACACAATAAAAAAAAAATTAAAATTAAATATTGACTCTCTAATCTCTTCAAAACGCATATAAACAGCTTGTGACTAATTTATAAGAATAAACGAAACAATACGTTTTTACTGTTCAATATCGATTTAACGATAGCACAAGGCGTGATGACTTTAATATCAAAGGCATTCTCATGTTTTTTGTACCATAGGCAACGTACCAAGACACTGTATTAATTAACCAACTCTCCCTGTGTATAAAAATGATTTTATCGCGTTGCCTTTGAAAAACTATCGATTCGATCAGATTAATAAGATATAAAAATTTATATTCACCTATAACACACCATTAATTAAAACTATTCTGTAACAAAAAGGAATATTACCATTTTTTTATATAATTAATATCTTTATAACAGACGTGTTTACTTCTTACTTTTAAATGGAGATAATAGCAACTAATATACATTTGTAAGAGCGAAACTAACAATTCGATATCACTGAACATATAATTTAGCAATATTATCACGAAATGCTCTGTCTACTGTTATATAAATTATTATCGCGTCATAAATACTTTATCTGTTATGCTTCGGTGGTCCAGTGAGTGTAAAGGGCGTAAAACAAAAATATCTTAAAATTCTTATCTATATTGGAAGTTTTACCATCAATGTAATATAAAACTATTTTAGGTCGAGTTTGTTAATAGATTGTAATTGTTTATTGGGATTAATTCTATGTAATTATAATTGCGACTGGTTAGCGTTCACTGTTCACATCCACACCTGCGGCTACTAATAAAACAAGTCTCATGTAAATATGTCAGCAGACATTTGAATTCAGAATAGCCAGGTGTAACTTGTATTAGAATTATCTAATATGTACTGTTTTATAATTTATTATATATTTTAATATCGGTGGAATGCTTTAAATCTAAAATAGACATAACAAAGTGTAACCAAATCAAACAATGTAATGAACGTCGTAATTTAGAACATCAATTAAACATTTTTTTCTTTCGTGAGAAAAAAGTGTTCGTTATAATTCAGTAAGTTTAAATTGGCAGGTTGCAAGTTAAGACAATATTATTTTTGAGATCCTACTACCTGTTATAGCAGGTGTGTATTTCACTCAATTACTCCAGTACATAATGTTACGTAAAATAGTCCGAATTTAATAGAAACGAACAAAGACTTGAACTTGAAAATATCATTATATTATTAACATATTTTTGGGCATTTCTTAATCATAAAAATAATAGCTAAAAATTGTTTCGCAGATGCCAAAACCGACTAATATAACCAAAGCTTGACTCTAGAGAGGAATTTAATCTATTTTTAATAATATGTAGCCAAAACAAAGCTGAAATACGTCCATTATAAAGTCTACGTAATGCCAAATTGCCCCCAGGGCAGTAACAATTAGTAGACAAGACTAACAAAGATTGACGCATGCCTCACTAATAATTCACCTCTCTTCCAGCCTAAATCATTTCAACTCGCAGCTCATTTTGGTTAGCCAGAAAAAAATACTTTGTATTATATTATTATGTAGAATAACATTAGAAAAACAAACTCTTCTTGACATAAAATTTCATTTTCGTTTGTGAATAACTAATAATGATGGAAGACCTTAAGGGTTGTCGAATAATTACTATATGATTTGAAGTCAATTGCTTGATAAAAATATGTTGAATTTTTGCTCAGATAAATAAATATTTAACACATCTAACATCATGTTACAAAAAATACTCGGTTTCTTTAAGTTAAATATAAAAGAATATGTATAAAAAGTACAATGTTTAAAGTTATTTCACATAGAATAAAATAGCTATCGGAGGACTGCGTGAAATTATTCTGTGTCAGTTTTATTTATGTATATTTCTATTTAGTTTCATTTTGTTATGTATTATATGCAACCATATTGATAGAATGATATTTTTAATCATAAAAGTGATGACCATCAATGAGATTTGGTCATTTAACAATATAAAATGGTGCTAAACCTGGCTGTACAATAATATGCGATACAAATCATATTCTTTTGTTATTTTTTTGTATTTTAAATATATGAAAAAAAAAATAAGTTTGTAACGCACGCTCTCTCACTCAGTTAATCGACTTAAAATGTTTAATAATAATAAATGTATTTAAATTTTAAAGCAACTTATTTATAAATATAGGAAAACAATAAAGAGATTTTATAAGTTTTCTTAGAACATAATTGTATACTTAATATAAAAGAATTCGTGCAACTTTTTTTGAATAGTAAAAAAAAACTTTTTATTATTTAGAGTTTAATTTTTTGTTAAGAATTGTGTATAGCCCTGGCATCTATACAAATAACATATTTCGCAGATTAATCTCAATTTCTTAAATACTTGAATTGCAACCAGTTACGATCGAAGGTATAGCATAAATTGTAAAGATCGCTGAAAACCGGAGAATTCATTCCCAAGAGAAAGGTTTGCATTCATGTCAGGATATTTGAATACATATACTAAAATATTTACCATATCTTCTCTAATCGTCTTGTTGTCATCTACTTATGTTGATTATACCTATGTGTAATCTCATAGAAGAAGTTTTATTTAATGATGGTAAATTACACAGTATGATCTTTTAAATATACATACATATATTTGATAATTTTGAATACTCAATAACTTTAAAACATTTTTCTTACTACTCGGAAGTGAAGAGCTATATATAACAAAGCTATTGTTATCCTTATATATATCAAGCATCAATCGTATCAAAACCAATTAATTGACTCTTAGTTGAGTCGCCTCTTTCAGGTTATTTCTAGTTCACTCGCTGTCAATTTTACACATTTGACGAGGACGCTATAGTGGCCAATGAATATTAAAAATCTTTATTTAGCTCCTGATATTCAATTTTCTACATTAGCATGTCACAGTCTAAAATTATAAAAAAATTTAAATTATTCACTAAAAGATAAAATTAAAATCGTAACTATATACCTACAGAATTATTTATTCATTCATTAATATATCATTTATTTATATACCCTAAATATTACCAAAAGTATGTAAAACATTCTTCACTGATAGACTTTTTGTAACGATTCTTCCTTTATTTGATGTATATATTATTAATATCTCAAGTCCCAAGCGAGTCGCGCCATAGTCCGTACTCGGGTATGAACCCGTTACCCATCGCCAGTCGAAGTCCACGTGATCCGTGTACCAATACACACCGACACTTCCGCTCTGCGCCGGCAATTACAAACGTAAATTCAACTATCATACATACAGAATAACATACAAAGACGAATTTCATCGAACTGGCCACTTAAAAATACGTCTCGGAAAATAAACCATATTTTTATTGGTTAAGTGTGAAAGTCCTTTGAAGTTGAACTGTCGATGTAGCAGAAG